GCCTCGGCCTCCCAAAGTGCTGGGATTACAGGCTTGAGCCACCGCGCCCGGCCGGATGAGTTTCTTATAACAGAAGGAAAGATAATGGTTAACTACCTTAGTCCAAATCTCATCTTGGTCTGAATACATATAGTATTCGTTAACACCATGGAGTTTGGTTGATCCAAGGATAAGTAGAAAATTTAACTATTCACAGTGGAGTCACCAAAAAGTCAATTTGTATCAAGCATAATTTCATACACTATACACAAATGGTTTGAAGACCCCCTCATATCCTAGTCTACAATAGACTCCAAATGTTCAGTCTTCTTTGATTCTTCCTTCTTCATGTTTCATGTACTATATCAGTTGATTTAAAATAAATTCTCTGGTTTATACCTTCCTCTCCAATCTCACTGTGAAGTCTTACTTCACAGGCCTAGATTACAAGGGTTTTTAATCCTGATGTGCAATCATATACTCCACTCCAATCTATCAACTCCTTAGTTTGGCATTCAAGTTCCTCTACTACTCACTTATATCTTACTTTCAGATTCTCATCTACATGAATCACATGACTCAGTTAAGTCAAGCTTCTTGTTAATCCTTATTTTGAACCTTCCATAGGAAATGCTCTCACTGTTCCTCCCGGTTCATCAAATCCTTCTAATCACTCAAAGCCCAAACCAAGTCCTACCTCTTCTATAAGATGCCCTCCAGCCCAATCTTTATCAGTTCTGTATACCTAGCCTTGGTCACCATCACATAATCTAACATTAGATTTATTATTTTTTGCCGGGCGCGGTGGCTCACGCCTGTAATCCCAGCACTTTGGGAGGCCGAGGCGGGTGGACCACGAGGTCAAGAGATCGAGACCATCCTGGTCAACATGGTGAAACCCCGTCTCTACTAAAAATACAAAAAATTAGCTGGGCATGGTACCGCGTGCCTGTAATCCCAGCTACTCAGGAGGCTGAGGTGGGAGAATTGCTTGAACCCAGGTGGTGGAGGTTGTGGTGAGCCGAGATTGTGCCATTGCACTCCAGCCTGGGTAACAAGAGCGAAACTCCGTCTCAAAAAATAAATAAATAAATAAATAAATAAAATAGATTTATTATTTTTTAAATTTATTTATTTTTTATTTGTTTAAAGATGGGGTTTCACCATGATGGCCAGGCTGGCCTTGAACTCCTGACCTCAGGTAATCCACCCACCTCTGCCTCCCAAAGTGCTAGGATTACAGGTGTGAGCCACCGCGCCCGGCCTAACATTCGATTTATGTATTTTTTATGTTTTGCCATTCTTTTCCAACTCTTCTACTTTTTTGGCCATCCCTCATGTGCCTACCACAAAATATATATTTTGTTAATACTCCTACTTTGAAAGGAAAAGAAAATAATTCCATCTGCTCTCCGTCATTCAGATATACACTTGCCTATATTTCCCAACCTTTTCATGTATTACTACCAATTAAAATTGGAACTCGATCCCAGGATTGGCCAAATGTAAGCCACAGTTTTCAATGAACATACACTATTTACACAAAAAGTTGATGTTCCTAAAGGAGAGGCATCTTAAATTTATCTGAGAGTTCCTCATTTAGGCACAAACACACTTCCAACCTTAGCTAGCGGGAGAAAGTGGGGCACTCTCATTTATTTATTTTGAAACCATCTTAATTTATCAACTCACCTATTACATGGGCAGACACAAAGGCCACAGCATTTGTTGAGTTCTGTTAAAGTCTTCTCTGCTTCTCTCATGTCTTTATTTATTTGGTCCAAGCCTTCTTCTATGCGGTTTAGTTGTTCTAAGAATAAGTTGTGAAGTTACATTTTGTGTTCTATTCACAGTGTCAACCAGAAAATGCCATTATTATGAAGCAGCAAACTTCAATCTTGAATCTACCAATAACCCCTCACAGTGAATATGTCAGTGTCAAAAGGTATTAGAAGCTATTCAACATGAAAATAATCTTTCATGTACTGATCATGAGGCACCTAGCCTCTTGCTGTGGAAAAATTTGTTCTAAGAAACTTGTATATGGCTGGGTGTGGTAGCTCAAACCAGTGATCCCAGCACTTTGGGAGGCCAAGGTGGGTGGATCACTTAAGGTCAGGAGTTCGAGATCAGCCTGGCCAACATGGTGAAACCCCGTCTCTAATAAAAATACAAAAAATTAGCCCGAGATAATGGCAGGCGCCTATAATCCCAGATACCTGGGAGGCTGAGGCAGGAGAATAGCTTGAACCCAGGAGGTGGATGTTGCAGTGAGCCAAGATCGTGCCATTGCACTCCAGCCTGGGTAACAGGAGTGAAACTCCAGAAAAAGAGAAGAAAGAGAGAAAGGAAGAAAGGAGAAAAGAAGAAACAGAGAAAGAGACAGAGAGAGCTAGAGAGAAATAAAGAATATCATAATGTCTAAGGTACATATAACCAATGCACACAAAAAGCCATGCTGGCCTAACACATACTTGGTATATACAGTTGCGCATTGTTGCCTGCCATCCCAAATAGACAGTGAACATGATATAATTCAAATCAGAAGACAAGAAGTAAACATAGCATTCTTATTTTACAAAGGGAAGGCCCTCCCAAAGGCTGAAATTTATATGTCTAATTTGATAGAGCTTTTTGGCATCATAATCAAATTAAGAATTTCTGCTAAGAATTTAACTCACCCCCTTGTTCATCCAGCATAGTGATGGTCTTGATTCCTACATCCTGAGACTAAAAGAAGGGGGGGAAAAGGCTGATAGTACAATAAAACAAACCAAAAACAACAGAAACAAAACCTACAACAGCTGACAAATAGCAAGACAGGATCATTTAGAAACCTAAGTTCTCAGAAGATTAGAGCTACAGACAGAACTAGTATTCTTAAACTAACACACTTTAACATATCAGCCCCTCAAAATAGTTAAGTCACAAACTCATAGTGAATTCATCTTCCCTGTCATATTCCAATCATATTCCATACCCCTGTCATATTACTGCATGGTTTGACAATTTCAGCAACTGTTGATTTCAAATAATAAAGCGTATTGATACATTAACCTTTATCACTAATTCCAGCCAGAGGTTTAGGATCTCTCCTAGAAATTTCTATACTTAAGTTGATGACTAATACTTTCTTACCTCACTGGCTAAACCCAGGATTCTCCTCGTACTTTCCAGAGACTAGGAAAAAACACAGAGTTTTAGCATTCCAAAACAAGTAGGAAAAAAAATCTGATCACAGGCCACATTCATGATGCTATTCTATTTTTAAAAATCGCCAGCTGAGGCCAGGCACAGTTGCTCACACCTACAATCCCAGCACTTTGGGAGGCCAAGGCAGGAGGATTTCTTGAGTACTGCAGCTCAAGACCAACCAGGCAACATAGTGAGACTCTGTCTCCTTTAAAGGAAAAAACAAAAAGAAATGCTAGCCCATCCCTCCCTTTAAAACAAAGCAATGGCTGGGTGCAGTGGCTCACACCTGTAATCCCAGCACTTTGGGAGTCTGAGGTGGGCAGATCACGAGGTCAGGAGTTCGAGAGCAGCCTGACCAACATAGTGAAATCCCTGTCTCTACTACAAACACAAAAATTAACCGGGCATGGTAGCGCATGCCTGTAATCCCAGCTACTCGGGAGGCTGAGGCAGGAGAACCACGTGAACCTGGGAGGCGGAGCTTGCAGTGAGCCGAGATCACACCATTGTACTCCAGCCTGGACAACAAGAGCAAAATTGTGTCTCAAAAAAAACCAAAAATTAACGTAGGTAGAAATCGAAGTAAATTGTCTGGTGTGGTGGCTCATGCCTGTAATCCCAGCACTTTGGGAGGCCGAGGCGGGTGGATCACGAGGTCAAGAGATCAGACCATCCTGGCCAATACGGTGAAATCCCGTCTCTACTAAAAAAAAAAAATACAAAAATTAGCTGGGCATGGTAGCATGCACCTGTAGTCCCAGCTACTTGGGAGTCTGAGGCAGGAGAACTGCTTGAACCCGGGAGGCAGATGTTGCAGTGAGCTGAAGTCTCGCCACTACATTCTAGCCTGGCTCCCGGCGACAGAGTGAGACTCTGTCTCGAAAAAAAGAAAAAAAAAAGAAATCTAAGTAAATTACAGATATTAGGAAATGTTAAACAGAAGTCTAGCATTTCTCACATACATACTAGAGTATCTTTGTTTCACATAACTGTTAAGTAGTATTAATAATTACCTAAAAAAGATAATCATACAAATTGTTTTCACTTTAGTTTTCTGGTGAGTTAAAAAGAAAATAAAAACTAGCAATGGCACTATGGGGCGAATGTGTTCTTTGATATTAACAGACTAGGAAGAGGCCAAAATGGTCCCTAAGAAGGCTCTCTCAGCCCTCCAGTATGAAAACTGAAATAGAATTATTTACTTATTTTAGGTAAAACATTTACCTCATCAGTAATCTGGTGAGCTCTCAGTTGAATTTCTTCTGATGACAGGTTATCCATGATGCATCAAATCTCTATTAGGCACAGAAATGGAAATGTTGATATTCTATAAGAATAACGATATATAAAAATTTATGTGAGCAACAAGTGTAGATTTATGGAATTTAGGAACATATCAGGAAAACAGGATAAAAGAATCTCTGTATCTACTAGTCTACCACAAGTAAAGAAATTAAGACTGAGAGAGACTAAATGAATATTTAACAAGAGTGCCAAGGGTGAACATAAAATACAGGTTTTAGGACTTCTAGGGAAGTACTCTTTAAAACAGGAAAGTGGACCCTCTACCTTGAGAAGCAAGGCATTATTGGAAGACAAGCTTTAAAAGACTATTAAAATGAATTTTTGGTTGCTCAATGTTCTTCATGTGTTGTCTGAACATGGAAAAGCAGTAAGTGAAGGAAGAAAAGTCCAATTTAGTAAAGTAACAAAATTTGAAGTTATGTGCCGGAAGAATGTAGGAAACATTTCTAAATATGCGGAAGAATGTAGGAAACATTTCTAAATATGCCAGTTGTCCAGGCTACTCATTGGAGAAAATACTTTCACTCTTAACAAGAAAAGGGAAATGCTGGTACAAACAGCTCAGAAAAGACTAAGGTTTTTATTATGCATTAGACTCTCCTCCTCCAATAACTTACATTATTTGTTGTTTTAGTGGAGTCCCTAAGAAACCAAACAATTATTCTCCTATACATAGGAACACAAAGAGAGATCTCATAGACATCCAAGCTACAAAATAAAACATTTTGTAGGTGTTATTCAGCATGACTGTTATCTAATTCCTCATTGAGAAGTCATGTGGAGTAATAGCAAGCATTGTGCAACGTATCTAGGTTTTTTCTTTGTTATGTTTGCTAGCTTTGTATGTATTTTCTCAAAACTCATTTATCAAAGCTCACTGTCAATTAAACAGATAAACTCTGGTTCATATTACAGATTTGCCTCCAGGAATCTGACAATGTCTGGAGACACTTCATTGTCACAACTTGGGCCAGGTGATGGGGGTGGTTGCTGGCATTTAGTAGGTAAAGGCAGAGAAGCTGCTAAACATCCTACAACACTCTTCAAGAAAGCCCTCCAGCAAAGAATAATCTGACCTAAAATGTCAAAGTGCTGAGGTAAGAAACCTTGCCATGAATATACTCACTGATAAGCAGGAAACCTATTCCCCAAGAATGTACTGGACTGAATTCTTGGGAGGCAGAGATTTTATCTCTAACACCTAACAGGATCTGATAGTTAGTACTCCAAAAATAGCTGAAAGAACAAATAAGTTGAAAAACAGGGTGTACTGTCAAAGTATTTACGTGGCTCTTAGAAACAAAGCGGCATGTAACAGTAGCAAAGGCCAGGTGCAGTGGCTCATGCCTGTAATTCCAGCAATTTGGGAGTCCAAGGCGGGCGGATCATGAGGTCGGGAGTTTGAGACCAGTGTGACAACATGATGAAACTCCATCTCTACTAAAAATACAAGAATTAGATGGGCATGGTGGCCTGTGTACCTGTAATCCCAACTACTCAGGAGGCTGAGGCAGGAGAATTGCTTGAACATGGGAGGCAAAGGCTGCAGTGATCCAAGATCACGCCACCGCACTCGAGCCTGGGCAACAAGAGTGAGACTCTGTCTCAATAAAAGAAAAAAAGCAAAAAACCAGCAGCACAGAGCCTGCAAATAATCACTAGAGCCACAAACCAAAAACTGCCATTGCAATTGTATGATATGATCACATATAAATCTTTTCTGTCACTTTTGGCCAGGCGTGGTAGCTCATGACTGGAATCCTAGCACTTTGGGAGGCTGAAATCAGCGGATTGCTTGAGCTCAGGAATTGGAATTAAGCCTGGGCAACATGGCAAAACCCCTTCTCTACAAAAAATACAAGAATTAGCTGGGCATGGTAGCATACTCCTATAATCCCAGCTACTGGAGAGGCTGAAGTGGGCGGATCACTTGAGTCCAGGAAGTTGAGGCTGCAGTGTGTCAAAATCATGCCACTGCACTCCAGTCTGGATGACAGAGCAAGATCCTATCTCCAAAAAAAATTAAATATTTTCAGTCATTTTTAATTGAACCATTACTCTATCATTTTTATTTTTTATATTTTTGAAATGGAGTCTCGCTCTGTTGCCCAGGCTAAAGTGCAGTGGCGCAATCTTGGCTCGCTATACCCTCTGCCTCCCAGGTTCACGCAATTCTCCTGCCTCAGCCTCCCAAGGAGCTGGAATTAGAGGCATGTACCACCACACCCTGCTAATTTTTGTATTTTTACTACAAATGGGGTTTTACCATGTTGGCCAGGCTGGTCTCAAACTCCAGAACTCAGGTGATTCATCCACCTCAGCCTCCCAAAATGCTGAGATTACAGGTATGAGCCCCTGAGCCCAGCCTGAATCACCACATCTAGCCCTGTTTATAATTTTACTATCATACCTAACTGTTTTACGGTTTAAGATTTTGAGCCTTGATTAAAACTATTAGTGCTCATGAAAAAAAGTATTTTAAGTTCCAAGTTGAAGTTTCTATCTTGCTTGCCATAGACTGTGGTTCAGGCAAAAGTTCTCACACTAAGTAAGATACAGTCAAGATATAAAGATATCTGGCCGGGTGCGGTGGCTCAAGCCTGTAATCCCAGCACTTTGGGAGGCTGAGGCGGGTGGATCACGAGGTCAAGAGATCGAGACCATCCTGGTCAACATGGTGAAACGCCGTCTCTACTAAAAATACAAAAAATTAGCTGG